AATAATAATAATAATAATAATAATAATAATAATAATAATAATAATAATAATAATAGTAGCAATATGGGTGTGAGCCCCCATCCCACCAGCAATGGGACTGGACAGGACTGTTTTGGGGGACTTTGGGAAAACACAAACTCAGAGGGTCTTGTGTCCTTCTGAAACACTTTAATAATAAAATTATTATTATTATTATTATTATTATTATTATTATTATTATTATTATTATTATTATTATTATTATTATCATTATCATTATTATTATTATCATTATTATCATTATTATCATTATTATCATTATTATCATTATTATTATTATCATTATCATTATCATTATCATTATCATTAATAATACGAGTATGAGCCCCCATCCCACCAGCACTGGGGCCGGACCTGGCTGTTTTGGGGGACTGGGGAGAAACACAAGCTCAGAGGGTCTTGTGTCCTTCTGAAACTCTTAATAAAATAAAATAAAATAAAATAAAATAAAATAAAATAAAATAAAATAAAATAAAATAAAATAAAATAAAATAAAATAAAATAGTAATGATAATAATAATAGCAATATGGGTATGAGTCCCCATCCCACCATGGGACAGCACTGGGGATGGACGGGGCTGTTTTGATGGACCGGGGAGAAACATGAGCTCAGAGGGTCTTGTGTCCTTCTGAAACACTTTAGTACTACTACTAATAATAATAATTAATACTAATAATAGCAATATGGGTGTGAGCCCCCATCCCTCCAGCACTGGGGCCAGACGGGGCTGTTTTTGGGGACTGGGGGGAAAACATACACTCAGAGGGTCTTGTGTCCTTCTGAAACTCTTTAATAATAGTAATAGTAATAGTAATAGTAATAGTAATAGTAATAGTAATAGTAATAATAATAATAATAATAATAATAATAATAATAATAATAGTAGTAGTAGTACGGGTGTGAGCCCCCATCCCACCAGCCCTAGGGCCGGACAGGGCTGTTTTGGGGGACTGGGGTGAAACACGAGCTCAGAGGGTTTTGTGTCCTTCTGAAACTCTTTAATAATAATAATAATAATGATGATGATGATGATGATGATGATCGATGGTGGTGGTGGTGGATTTCCATCACGGCAAGAAGCAAACACTGGGCCCTTTTCCCCTGGCAGCAGATATTAACCCTTTCTTTCCCTGCCCGCAGCGAGGACCCGTGGCGGGCAGCGAAGATGATCAAGGGCTACATGCAGCAGCACAACATCCCGCAGCGRGAGGTGGTGGATGTCACCGGCCTCAACCAGTCCCACCTCTCGCAGCACCTCAACAAGGGCACCCCCATGAAAACCCAAAAGAGAGCTGCCCTCTACACGTGGTACGTCCGCAAGCAGCGGGAGATCCTCCGCCGTAAGTACCCATTGCCCATTATGGGGATGGGGGTGACGAGATGGGGTCCCCATGTCCCGGTCCTGCCCCTGGGTGCCACCACAGCCCTCGGGATCCAGCTGTCCAGCGTCTCCCCAAAACAGTTTTCCACGTAAAACTGCAGGAAAACTGAGTGAGAGCCCCTCTTGGTGATGGGGTTCCCCGCGGCTCGTTCACGCAGCTGAATTTCTGTATATTTGTATTTTAAAGAGCTGGGAAAACAATTAATGACGACTCGCAATTAGGTGCCTTTCCCACTTTTGCCCCTTCTCGTTATTTCTCAACCTGCTTGTTTTCTTCAGCTAAGCACCAAAAATTTAGAGAAAGAAAATTAAAACCCGCTGAATTGTTGTTGTCCATCGCAGGGTTTGGGGCAGTCTGTGCTGTTTAAAACGCAGATAATTTTGACCAAGCACACATTATTTTGACCAAGACCGCCTCTCCTGCTCCTCCCTGCCCTGGGCTCACCCTGTAGCACTCAAAGCAGCCCCGAGTGGCACTGACATTCCCCAAGAAAAGGCTCTGCCTCCCTGCTCCAAAAGGATGCAATATCCAACAGACGGGAAGTGCAGAAAAGGCTTTAGCACCAAATACCATTGCTCTGAAAACACACCTTGAGACGTTAGAGCAAACAGAGCCCGCTCCAGCCTTGCCCTGCGCTTCCCCCCCGCGTCACCGGGGGGGGAAAAGCCATTATAAAAAGAGGGAGAATTCCCCTGCAAAAGTGGCAATAATAAAACGCTGCCATTAATCTCYCTTTACTGCCGCGGTGACAAGCGGCGGGGCCGAGGCGGCTGCCGAAGGTCACCTTTGGTGCTGCCCGCCCCGGGCACGGCGCTGGGCTGGGCTGGGAGGGCAGAGGGGCACCCTCTCGGGGGGCTTTGCAGTCGTTCTGCCCAGCTCCTCGCTTGGAAAAATCCTCCCCAAACGAGCGCGGGCTGGCGGGAGCCTTTTGCATGAATATGCATGGCAGAACCGTGCCCTGCACATGCCTCCCCATTAAACAGGGACGGCGGCGGGCTGGCAGTGCCCGGGATGGGTGGCAGGGAGGGTGGCAGGGAGGGGTGGCAGGGAGGGTGACAGGGAGGGCTGGCTCGCTCCGAGGGGACACGGGGGGACAGTGACTCCGGGCAGTGGCCACAGGCCAGCTCACGTCTGCTCCTTTCTCTTTCAGAGTTCAACCAGACAGTCCAGGGTTGTGGAAATATGACAGACAAAGGCAGTCAGGATCAGCTGCTGTTTCTCTTTCCAGAGTTCAATCAGCAGAACCAGGGGGCTGCCCAGCTCGACGACGCCTGCTCTGAAACCCCCAGCAAGAAGATGCGGCGCAATCGCTTCAAGTGGGGGCCGGCCTCCCAGCAAATCTTGTACCAAGCCTACGAGCGCCAGAAAAACCCCAGCAAGGAGGAGCGCGAATCTCTGGTGGAGGAGTGCAACAGGTAGGGGCTGTGCCACGCTGCCTGTGCTGCCTGCCCTGCTCCACAGCCTTCCCAGAGCTGCGGGAGATGCCGGCTCCCGGCTCGCTGCCCTGGCTGCTGGTTTGTGGCACRGCTTGGCTGAGCTGCCAGGCTTCTTCTTGCCGTGTTTTCCCCATCTGGGTGGTGTTTGGGGCACAGTGAGCGCCGTGCTTGGGCGGGGATGGG